CAGGATGACCAACAGAACAAACATAGTGATGGTATCAAAGAGAAAAATAAGCAAAACCCAGGACCCCCAGTCAAAGTTCTATTGCAAGCATGAGTTCAGGACATCTCAGACGAAATGGATGTTGAAGAAGGGTTGTCCCTTCCGAAACACCTTTTGCCTCGAAAGTCAAAACAACAACACCGCCAAAACAAGCATTCATAACAGATACATTTATTTCGGGGAAATGCTGGGGTTTTCGTCAAAACCTGGATAATATCGAGGATTTAATCAACATGTATAAACCTGCCTTGCACTTCAGGAGACCTTGTTAAAACCAAGCAGACATGCTAAGATACGGAGATATACCACAGTAAGAAAGGACAACCCATCTGGGAATCGTGCCTGTGGTGGTGTGGGCCTTATCGCCTTTCACAATCACCCATACACTGCTCTCCCTTTGACGACCTCCTTTCAAGCTGTGGCGGTTCAGATTAATTTACGCTTTTCAATCTCTGTATGCACTATTTATGTACCCCCACATGAGCATGTTGATCAGTTAGAGTTGGACAGAATAATAGAGCAGCCCCAGAACCTGTTTTGCTTTTGGGTAACTTCAGTGCCCATAGTACCTTATGGGGAAATAGGGGCACTAATTCAAGGGGCCGGCAAATCGAACAATTAATGGAAGATCATTATATTTGTCTTTCATCAGCCAACTAGAACATTTCATGCAATTGATCTGGTTTTTTGTTCTCCATCTCTACTAGCTTTCTGCTCTTTCAATGTAGGGGAGAATCTCTACGATAGTGACCACTTCCCAGTCATTGAAAATATTACAGGAAAATCAAAGATCTCAAGACAGCCATGCTTATTTTACGATAAAGCTGATTGGGATCTTTTTGCATCTTGTGCTGTGCTGACTGAAGAAATGGTAAACGATACGGACATTAATACAGCAGTAAAAATGATCTCTGATACTATTTTACAAGTAGCCGAACTCTGTATTCCGAAGTCCTTGACAAAGTTCCCGAAGTTCCCTAAACCCTGAATGCTTTAGGTGATACATTTGCTGCTGTATCTGGCAGTAGCAATTACTCAAAAGAGTTTCTGTCCATAAAGATGGCCTTGGAAAGGATTTAATCGACTTTTCCCATCCTAATGCAGAATCTTATAATAAAGATCTCACCGTGTTTGAATTAAGAAGTGTAATATCTTGCACTGATAGGACTTGCCCTGGTCTTGATGGCTTAAGTTATTTGATGATAAAGCACCTGCCCTATGAATCTCTAGTGCTCTTTAAAATACGATATGGAAGAAACAAATTTTTCCAACTGCCTGGTGCAGAACCTTTGTTATCCCTATAGTAAAACCTGGCAAGGACCCGAAAAATCCTTTAAATTATCGCCCCATTGCGCAAACTAGTTGCCTTAGCAAGGTCATGGAAAAAAGGGTAAATCACCGTCTCACCTACTATCTGGAGATTATCGCCTTACCTAAGTGGTTTCCATAAGGGAAGATCTTCACTTGATAATGCCTTGTTTTTAGAAATCGCAGTACGCAATGCATTTGTGAAAAGAAAGCATGTGGTTTCAATCTTCTTTGGCATGGAAAAGGTTTTGATAGAACTTGGCAGCATGGAATTCTTCATTACCTTTATAGCACTGGATTACCCATCTTCATTCAAAACTTTCTGAAGAACCACCTTTTTTAAGTTAAGATTGGATCGCTGCGTTCTCAAGTATTTGTACAACAAGAAGGTGTACTCCAAGGTTCAGTACTCAGTGTCACTCTTTTCAGCCTGAAAATTAATTCCATTTTAAGAGAACTTCCTCCCACAGTGCATGGTTCCCTGTATGTTGATGATCTATTGTCAAGTCAAGATATGAGATACATTGAGAGACAACTACAAATTGCTCTAAATAGAATCATAAAGTGGTCCAACAACAATGGTTTTAACCGCTTCCCTTACAAATTTTTTTGAAAAAAAATTGCAAAAAATCACATTTTTTTATTTTATTATTAAATACAACAAAACGAAACAAATCAAAATATGTAGGTTTTAAGTTGAATTTTAAATTTTTTGAAGGTGTAAAAGCATTTATTTTTAATATTAGTTACTATCCCGAGTTATCTCGGGCAAACGAAAAAAATTTAAATCAACGTATATTATACAATAGGGAAACACGCGACCAGTCCCTCCAAAAGAACCGCGCAACCAACAAAATTTGGCAAACTGCCAATCAAAGCTAAATATTTTCTTTCATTTCCTCCAAACCGAGTAAAACCGGGATAAAAGAAATCGTACTAACAAATTCTGCTTCGCCCGAGTTTTCTCGGGATAGTAATTAACTGCAATATATACGAACCCGAGATAACTCGGGATAATCAGGCAAGCGGTTAAGTTTTCTAGCCAGATGACAGTCTGCGTGCACTTCTGTCGCAAAAGAAATCTGCATCTTGACAGCTCTTTGATCCGTGTTGAGCCAGAAGCAAAATTCTTAGGAGTTATATTTGACAGAAAGCTCACTTTCTTTCTGCATATCTTAAATCTAAAGAAAAAATGTGCTAAAGCTCTCAACATACTGAAAGTCTTGGCCAATACTTGACTTCGGCAGTGTTATCTATGGATCAGCAAGACCTTCTGTGCTACTGAAATTGGATCCAAATTGGAGCAAATTTTAAAATTGTTTAAACCAGTTTTATTTATCACAGAATACTTACTTTTATTTGAGCATTTAAATAACATATATTTTGTGTCTTTTTTTACACAGTTTGTTTGTGCATCAAGCACTACGGATTTGCTGTGAAGCCTTCAGAACATCTCCAGTCCAAAGTTTATATGCCATCTGTTTTGAACCATCTCTGGAATTCAGACGCAAGCAGTTGTCCATTGATCTTCATTATAAAGAAATGTTACAGGTTGAACATCCTGTCCGACTCATGACATCTGATCAGTACTGGTGTCTTTACCAAGCACATCCTTCATGTATCCCACCTTTTGATCTTCGCATTCACTCACTCCTTGAAGAATTCAACCTAAATGATCTGCATCCCAAAAGCTTTGACCTTTTTGGTATTGCTCCCTGGCAAGAAGTGAATATTCACCTACTTAACATTTTTGGAGAACTAAAGAAGAACAGTACCAATGATGCCCAATATCAACAAATTTTCCTAGAGCATAGAAGCAGTCATTCTAACTACAAAGCAATTTTTACTGATGGCTCGAAGAATCATGATCATGTCGGAACAGCTTTTGTTTGTGATAAAGAAATAAAGAGTAGTAAACTTCATAAGGCTGCATCTGTCTGTGAAAACTTTTGCCATTTTGAATTCCTTAATCTGTATCTTCAGGCAGAATAGCAGAAAGTTCATCATCTACTCTGACTGTTTGTGATAAAGAAATAAAGAGTAGTAAACTTCATAAGGCTGCATCTGTCTGTGAAAACTTTTGCCATTTTGAATTCCTTAATCTGTATCTTCAGGCAGAATAGCAGAAAGTTCATCATCTACTCTGACTCTCTGAGTGCTCTTGAATCAATAAATACCAGCCAGCCTTTCATCTTAGAAATTTTAAAGGCACACCTCTGTTTGAGAAATGCAGGTATATTGCGTACTGCTGGATGCCTGGAGATGCTGGCATCAAAGGCAATGAACTCGCTGATATCACAGCAAAATCTGCTGATATTACCTCTGAAAATGATGTCCATTTTACAGACATACGGAATTACATCAGAACAAAGATCTTGTCCAGGTTGCAAGAACTCTGGAAATGCCAAACTCTGAACAAATTAAGGCAGGTAAAAACCCAATTTGGAGCATTGGGAGTCGAGAGGGAATCAAAAGGAGGATGTATTACTGACTCGCCTAAGAATTGGTCATTGCAGACTGACACATCAGTATCTCTTGAAAATAGATAATGAGCCTATTTGTGTCACTTGCGATGTTTCCATTTCAGTCAATCACATTTTAACCTGCTGTCCTGCTTTTAGTCAGAAACGTGAATTTTTTTGTTTAACTCTATGAATGTTAACTTAACAGATCTCATTGTAAGAAACCCTCACATCAACCTCATAAGATTTTTAAAAGACTTACCATATGATTTGAACTACATTTTATCCTGCTCTACCTGTTGCTAGACCATTTCTCAGTCATTTCTTCATGCCTTCATCAGCATTACAGGTTCATTTCAACAATTCATCTGATACAGTGTGTTTGTGCATTTTGGATTTTAAACACCATTCGTCTGGCACATAGCCTTCAAGGTTTTGTTCCATTAAAAGTCAACCTTACTCAGGCTACCATAAATGAAACAACTTATCGATAATCCAAGGGTACCCTAAAATATAGACTAACCTTCTTCTTCTTTTTTTTTTAATAGATTCCAATTTATGAACTGTTGATTTTATTATTTTAACTGTAGGAGTTTGTAAAATTGAGAGTCTACAGAATGTTGGTGTGTAGCAATAAAATGTATTTATAAAAATTTTCAAAATTCTTTTAGTCTCTTTAGATATAAGCTATAATCATGTTGAGAAAACTAAAAGCATATTTTTCTCTATTTTATGTTCTAAAATTTGTTTAAAATACTTTTTATGTAAATTATTTACAGATAATGCATTAACTCTCTAAGTGGCATAGTATTTTATGTCATGAAAACCTGCATTTAATAGCTGGATTTTTGTAATTATTTTAGGGTGTACTTTCAGAAACTTACATTCATTAAGATAATATTTACATTAATAAAGAAAGCAAAATATCTTGAATTATAAGCTAAAAATGCCAAAACAAAAAATCTGATGACCGCATAAAGCTGGTCATGGTGCTCAGAGGGTTAATTGCTTGGAGAAGTCTGTAAATTTTATTCATAAATTGAATTAAATTGTGTAGAAAAACAATTGATGTGATTTTATTATCTATATGTTATAGCAAATTTTAAAATTGTTTAAACCAGTTTTATTTGTCACAGAATACGTACTTTTATTTGAGCATTTAAATAACATATGTTTTGTCTCTCTTTTTAGGAAGGCCAAATATGACAAAAGATGGTCATGAAGTTAGAACGTGCAAAGTGGCTGATAGAACAGCTAGTATTAATTTATCTGTTTGGGATGAACCGGGTCTTTATGTACAACAAGGAGATATTTGTAGGCTTAGCAAAGGGTAAGTTTTGTTTCTAAATATATTTAGTGTGTTCAGTGGCTTATGTTTGTTTTTGGACACACGTTTTTCAATTGTATTTGCAAATATCAGTTACTATATTTAAATTAAAAGTAATGCTAGGCAATGTATAAATAATAAAAAAATTAGATGTAATAATTCAATACTAACACTAAAAAATAATCACATTTCTTTAAAATTATTTAGTTTCAGTATATTTTGATGTTATAAAAATTTTTGGTACACTTCTGTTATTGGGGAGGATTGGATTCAGAAATAGGTATATGTGTGTATGTATGTGCATGCATACTTACATTTCTGAATAGTGTCCCGATAACAGAAGAGTACCAAATTTTTATACTATATTGTAAGTATATCAAAGAGTTAAGCATCACTTGGTACAGTATAATAGAACTTTAAGTAAATATGAAAATGTTAGTCATAATGTTTCTAATAAACACATTAATTATAAACTAATTCTTTTCTAATAAAACATTCATTAACAAAGTTCTAAAATAAAACTGAGGATTATTTACTTTACTTTGATTTATAATTAATAGATTTGCAAAAGTGTTTTAAAAGCAATTTTTGAGAATCAAATAAAGATCGGCATAATGTGTTGCAACTTTAAAAAAACTATTTTACATAAATAATATTGAATCTAAATTATATTCTTTCATAATGATGCATAATGCTTTTTTCAATTATCAATAAAAGAGATCAGTTTGTTCTTTCTGAAAATAAAATTCAGTATCATTTATTAAAATAGAAATACTGATTTATGCCAGTAAAATGGCTTCTATCTGAAAATAAAATAAGCCAAGAAATTGTACTATCTTATGGAAGAGGATCCTCACCTAATTAAGTTCCCATGTTCAAAAGAATTGCCAGATTGATAAAAGATGGTCTTCTCTTCACACCTTCCCAGAACTCCACTCCCACTAGAAAATATATGTAATAGTACAAAAGAGTCACCATTACATATTGTCTAGAAAAATGTCTGCGTGAATTTTTCGTATTTTTATCAAGGGAAAAAAATTCTGCTTTTATTTATTTATTTAAAGTGTGCATAATGTTGATGCTGCACAGAAATGCAAAAGTTAAAAATTTTTTAAGCAAATATAAATATAAATTAACTTTTTTATGGGTAAACTATTTTTTTACGTGTATTAATATGATATATGTTACAAAAGAATCTTTTCTTTGAGTCATTTTCAGAGTTTGTCTTATATTTATTATTTCAGACTTTGTCTTAAATGCATAGCATGGAAGATTTCCTTCTTCATAAAACCTTCCTTCTTCACACTTAGTAATCTGATATGGCTGTTAGTTTATTATATGTGACATTTTCAGAAAAACTAAAAATTATTTATTGGTCCTAACCAATATGTTTTCCATCATGAAATAATCTCTCTCAACCACTTTCTTATGAATAAAAATATTTATATTAGTCTGGCTCAACACTGTTGTCAAATGAATTTAATTATTCTTGTTCAGTGTTATTAAGTGTAAGTTCAGTGTCATAATAATGTATTCATAAGGCTCATGATGCCTGCTTTAGTATTTAACCTTTTTCAAAATATGTATTCATTTCAAATTTAGTCACATATATTAAACTATTTTTACTTTTTCAAAAAATGGTTAAGAACATTTAAGAAAAAAAGTTTTGAAATTAATAAATTTCAAACTCATAAAATATAATCTAATTAATTCTCATTTTTTTTTTTTTTACTTTATTATAATGATATAAAAATTCTTAAAGAAGAAATGTATATTTTCTGTGTTATTTTTGATATCAGACGTGTTTATGAGTGGCTATTTTTCCCCTGCAATACATTAGAAAATATTTTCGTTGCATTAAATTTCAAAAAATAATTTTAAATATTAAATATTCCATTTTTCCTCTTCCTAGTTATGCTTCTATATGGAAAGGTTGTCTTACCTTGTATACAGGTAAAGGAGGTGAAATACAGAAAATAGGAGAGTGAGTTATTTTATATACATATATATTTTTATTGCAGTTTGTAAATATCTCATCCCAAGTAGAGTTGTTTTTGTAATTATTCTAAAAATACATTATTAATTTTGATTAAATAAAAATCATATATATTTGATATTTAATATTTTGTTTGTACATTTTAAGGCATAATACAGTTACAGATATGTATTGCTGTAAGTAAGATTGTAAATTTCAAAAATTTACTAGTTTTGTTATATCACCAAGAAATGTATACTTTATACACAGGTTTCAGGTAAAAATTTTTGTAGACTTTCATATAGAAAACCATTTGCTTTCATTCCTCTGTCCTTGGCATTTTGGATGATTGCGCATGCTGAATGCTGTGTGAAAAAATTTTTAAAACTATGAATTTAGTTCTGGTTTACAAAGCATAATTCATCTTTCATAAAATGGTGAAACTGTTGATATGTTTTTAATATATTTATAGAAATTGATTCAGATTTTGTATTTGCTGGGGTGAATGCTTAAATTGTGGTTGACGAAGAATGTATGTTCATTGTTAATTGGTTTTGAAAATAGAATGATTCTTAAAGTGTTCATTCTTGAAGTGTATCACATTTGGTTTCTGTTACCTCACTTTTATTTTTGATATTCATGAGATTTGTTGATTTCTTTAGAATGATGAAATTTCCACCAAGTTTTATATAAATTTCATCTGTCAAACTGTTCCCAAGTAATATCATTCTTCCTATTTACGTGTACTCTCAAACTGTATTAACAAAAAATATTTGTACTCTTTATGTAAATCATTCAGAAATGGATGTGAACATAATTATTATGTTCACAAAAATATTTGTGTTCTTAATCAGAATTTTGTTTTGGATAATCATCTGTAATAATATCAAAGGCTTCACTGTAATGTGAAGAGAAATATTTCCAACTATTGTGATTTTTGTATCATTTTAAGGAGAGCTGTGATGCTATGTCAGAACCTTTCTAAAAATGATTGTGATGCTTATGTCAGTGCTTTTTAAAAGTATATTGGCACAAAGCTCTAATTAATCATAGCTCTAAATTGTAGGAGAAGTAATGAAATTAACAATCTGAATGTATGCATTTCTGGCCTGTAAATTTAAAGGAAAAAGAAGGAAAAAAAAAAAATTACTTGACTGGAAAGTAGACTGATATTCAGTCAGTTTTTCATTTTGTTTATGTTATATGTATATTTGAAATGAATATGTTTTTGTAAGAATATAGTTCTATTTTGTTGAAAAAAAATTTTTAATGCTTTTTAAGCAATTGTGAGAAGTAAAAAAAAAATAATAATTACATTTGTATGTAATGTGCATGATTTAAAAAATTCATATGTGTTTAGAAAGAAAAGTTAAAATGAAAAAAACTGTACATAAATCAAAAGATATACAATTTTTAACTTGTTCATAATTTATAAAAGAATGTACAAAATTATGTTCTTACGCTTGTGGTTCTGTAATATCAGAATTAAAAAAAAAAAAAAAAACTAAATTATACAAACATTAAATTGTGAAAATATGTATTATTTACATCTGTATGTATCATTTTATTTTTGTTTTGCAGTGCATAAGTTTCATGTATTTCTTTATTATGATAAAATTTTTACTAAGAATTGTGTCGCTTTAAGTTATTACTTCACTTACAGAACATAACAAAATGCAAAACTGTGAAGCATCTATTTAAAAGAATCAAAATAATAAAATGGCATATGTTTTTTAATATTGTGTTTATATGGAAAAAAATTAAAATCAGTATACATTAAAAAAATAAAATAAAATAAAAAGCATTTACACAACTTTCTGTTGATTACTTTTTAGAAATTTGAAATTTGACACCTCTTATTTTGAGTTATATAAAAATGTTTCGTCATATCATGTAACTTATATAACTTTTACATGTAGTCTTTGAAGGATATTAGAAATGAATTATTGTTATAATAAATATACGGTTTTATACTTTCATATACAAACAAGATCTAATGTACATTTATTTTATCTTTGTTTCATTAAGATGTTCATTTAAAATGTATAAGAAAAAGATTGCTATTCATTACAAAACTAAAACATAAACAGAACTGTGCACATGGCTTGAAGTCTGATGCGTCTAAGGCAGTGTCATATCTTTTGACACGAGCTTATCTGTATTTTTCTCTTCCCTCATAGCTGAGAATTCCTGAAAGGGATGAAAAAGTGGAGGTGCCTGGTGCCACCATAAGTCCCTTTCATGTGGAAAAGGTGCGTTCTTTTCATGTAGCATGTAGAATTATTTATAAAATTATACACCATATATTGTTAAAAAAAATATTTGCTTTTTTACTGCTATCAGGTTCTAATTGTATGATGCCTTAAAGAAAGCAGATCTTTGAAGATATGTCAAGATTCCATACAAAGTTAATATGGCGTAATGTATTGTGTGTGTAACGAAGCCAAAAATAAAATCAGTGTCATATACTGAGACTGAAATGTATCTTGCATCGAACTGAAATAATAACTGTATTTATAAGAAGGCAAAGAGCTAATTGAATTCAATCAGATGTTTACTTACGTTTAAATGTTATGAATTTTTATAAAAGAATAATTGCCGTGCAAATTGTGCTAGACCATAGAATTCATTTTATTTTATGTAAAGTTTTGTAACATAAATTGAAGACATTGTTGAGAGAGAGAGGGGGGTGGGAACTTTTATCAATACTTTTGTCAGATTTTAAGGAGCACATTTACAGATTGTGACAATAAAAAACTTTTTTTTGTTTAGAGCTGAGACAAAATGTGCTATGGTAGCATTTTTAGAAGTTTTGGAAAAAAAAAAGTAAGCGACTCTTAATAGAATTATAGATATGCATATCTGCACTTTTGTAATGGTATACATTGAAGGTTCTAGCTCTTAGAATAAGCCTGCACTGTTGATGAATAGTGTACTGTAATTTAAATATATTTGTATGCAACCTTTCACAAAATGTGTTTTATTAAAGGTATAAAGAATTCTTAAAGATTGGATCATAACTAGGTTGTTAGATTGCTTTATTGAAAACTTGTTTTATTGAAAACAAAGTTGTTAATTAATGTTTTAAAGAATGAATAAAATTCTTGTATTGGAAATGTGTGAATTGAATATATGTATGTGAAACTGATAATCAAAAAGTCCAAAAAAAAAATTTTTTTTTTACATAATTAATTTTGTATGAAGTGATAAGCATGTCTCAACTTTTGCTAGTTTCTTATTTATTTGACTGATTTGTGGCATGCTATAGGATGTTTTTCCATCTTGTGCGTTAAAATATGAAAGTTTTCTGTTTGGAGAAACCTAAGAGACAGACTTGTTCATTTGTTTTTAAAAGTATAAATGTTTTAAAGACACTATGGAGAAAAGTAATTGCATTTTCCAGTTTTATGTAATTGAAATAACAAATATGTTACAGCACACATAATTTCTCTCTGTTCTTCTGAGTGAAATATTTGTAAAAACTGCTCATTTCCTACTTTCTCTTAACATTTTTAGTAGTTTCTAGTACATTATTTTCCCTTTTTTGTTGCCAAAAAGAGAGGGAGAAAGAAAAAGACATTTTGAATTACAATATTAGCTTATCTGATGCCATGACTATTGTATGTATGCATTTGGTTACTTAGAACAATAAAATATTTCAGCAATATGTAAAAGATACCCTGATGTAAGAAGAGTGGAAAATATTGTGCACTTTATATTTAGATTGAATTAGCTGTCTAATTTTTTACCTGTATGATTAGTTTCATATTGATGCTTTCATTAAACACATACGTGGGTTGGGGCAAAAGTCATGGCAACTATTTTTTTCTTGTCGATATGTGAACGGATCACAAAACTTATATGTTTCGTGTGGAAGTTCTGCAGGCATAGTGTGTATGCAGAACAACAGATAGCTCTGTGGGTAGCGAGGGCTCTGAAATCAGTCAGTTGGTGAGTGCCATGCGAGATGCAAGTAACCCGTGTTGAGCAGCGCGCTTCCATCAAAATAGCCGTTCTCCGAGGCAGAAATGTGATGGAATGTCACAGTGAATTAGTAGAAGCCCTTGGGAATAATGCCCTACCATATTGAACAGTAGCACGGTGGGTAGGAAAGTTTCAGCAAGGACGTGTGTCAACCAGTGATGAGCAACGTTCGGGACGCCCGGTGAGTGTGCGGACCGACTTGGCACGTGCCGTCATCGAGCACCTCATGGATGAAGACAGAGGATGGACATTACTGAAGTTAGAGAGGGCAAGTGGCATCGAGAAACGCACCGTTCACAGGATATTGCATAATGAGCTAGTGTCAGAATCCTTCCCCAGTCAAATTGATGGTGATTGTCGCGTATGACATCAGGGGTGTCATTGTTTGTCACTTTGTTCCTTATGGCAGAACAGTGACCTCACAGTACTACAGGGACTTCCTGGTGCGACAGATATGACGTGGCGTTCGGGATAAATATCCGGATCTTATGGACAGTGCAATAATTCTGCAAGACCACATAAAGCAGAGTGTATGCGGCAGCTACTCCGACGTTGGGGATGGGAAGAATTGGAACCTACTCTCCTGATCTTTCGTCCTGTGACTTTGATCTCATTCCCAAGATTAAGGTACCAATACGTGGTAGGCGGTTTGCAACACGAGTGGAAATTGCTAATGCTGTGTGGCAACAGATGACCTGATTCACACATGGTGCGGCAAATGCTGAGGCTAATGGTATTCAGCACCTCCCACATCGTTGGCAGTGTGTGGTGACAGTAGCAGGAGACTATATTGAAGGTCTTTAAGCCTAGGTTTGTCATGTCAACTTTATGTGTATTGTGTTATCATTCTTTTGCACGGTAATGGCTATATTGCCATGTATACTAACATAATAAATTTGAGTGTTACAATATTTCAGTGCTATTCATTGTCCACACATATAGTTAAGACCTTGTCCTATTGTCTGTATATGTCACATTTTCCAACCGTAATGGTATCTTCAAGAAAAAAATAGTTGCCATGACTTTTGCCCCAACCTACGTATTAATGTCAGATTTGCCTTGTTTAATAAATATGTTAAGCATCAATTTCTGATTTTATGAAAACATTTCTAAATAAAATAAATGTTTAAAAAAATCTGTTGCATCTAATTTGATTTATAAAGAGCAGGTAAATTTCTAAAAATAATTTTTTCTTTCTTTCTTTTTGAATTTTCGTTAATTTGGGTTTATTTTTCACAAGATATTATGTATAATTTAAGAATATCTAAACATTGTAAATCTTTTATGATACTTATGTTGGAAGTACTTGTATGGTATTTTAAAATAAATTTCTGAATTTAATATTCCCTGATGTGTATTTCATGCTATAGTAAGTGTATTAAAAATTAATGGTAAAATAGTAAATTGTGTAGTAACTATTTTAAATGTTGTCAAAACGTAGTAATACTTTTTCGGACCATTAGCACAAATTAAACCGGATGCTGATATATATATATATATATTTTAAACTGTCTTTGTGTGCATACACTATTTGCTTTATTTATATGTATGTAATTTCACGTTAGTGTATGCTTTTAGAAATTTGGGATTCTTTTAACACTTAGCGTTGTGAATTGTAATTTACCATTCACACTAATACTGTAAATTTTACTGATAAAAATTTATTCATTATATAAATAGATACTGTTATTGCTCAAGGTCATAGTCCCCCCTCCTTTTTTGGGGGGGGGGTAAATTTTTATTCTGAAATGCGATTTCAAATTTGTAATATATTTCTCACTTGTGAGTGAAGTATTCAAAAAGATGTCTTTTTAAATTTGGAAAAAAAAAATTTTTTTTTTAATATTCCTTAACCATATTCTTAGTCACTTTAGCTTGTTGGCCTTAAATTGAATGCTCTCTTCAGTAGGTGCAAACTGTACACACAGTTTTTACCATTGGTACACACCTTATTTAAGGAGCTATCAAAAAGTGATTTAAATATTCATTCAAAATTAAAAATTTTTTTTTTTTTTTTTTTTTTTTTTTTTTAGAAACTGTTCTATTTGTAATATAACAAACAAGGCCAGAAAATCGTACAAAACTTTTTTTTAATATTTTAGACTTATACATTAGCTTATAAAGGGTTTCCATGTACTTTTGCTGTGGGATTGTAAAACAGAAATGGAAATGATGTAATATCTGTCTCACAGGAAACCAAAATAAAAAGAGTAGCACTTTTGTAAAAAAAAACTTCTGTTAAACATTTTCTTCCTTTTTGCAGATGTGTTACATTTACAGAAGTACCAAATATGAGTGAAAGTTCAGATCAAGTGAATCAGCAGAAAACTGTAAGTTTCTCAATCAAAAAAAAACTGATAAAAAGGAATGTGATACAATACTAAAAAGTAATAAGGTGAAAAAAAGTTTGAAAAATACTATCAGATCGGGGCAGTTCGCTAGCCATGATGGTAACACATACCTGAATATGTTAATATCAAAATAAAAAATGAAATTTACTTAGCTAATAAATGTTGTTACTTGCAGTTCTAATGTTAAAGAATTTTAAAATTGAGGGGGAATGTGCTTTGCTATATGTTCGGATGTTGTTAGAATACTATGTCAGTGGTGTTTTATTTAGGATCGGCAGCGGCTATAAATGTAAATTATGTGATTATTTAGGGAATGATACTTGGGGGAAATATGGACCCCAGGAAAAAGGCAGTAAATAAGTTCAGTTAAAAAAGTTTAATAATAAGTCTTTTTTTATCGTATAGTGAAGTGGTAGTGGATGTTGTGTAGTGAAAATATATGTCATTGCTGAGAGAAATGCACATGCATATATAGTAATATAAAATAGTAAAAGTTTTTATACGGCTCAATTGGCGGATGTTAGTGAAGAGAAAATAAAATTAAAAAAAAAAAGTAAGATGAGTTACCTATTGTAACACCTCTTTAAGGGGTGGGAGCTATGCATTAATAGGGAGCTAATACAGGTGAATGCTGCGCTAACAAACTAGCTTGTAATAAACACCCAGGTGTAATGAAAGAATCTGTTGGTCCTGTCAAGTTTCCTGTATACTTAATGTTATAGTGAGCCTCCAAAAATACGAAAATCTGATAAGAAGAACCGTATGGATCTTACCGATTGAAACCTTTTTAAATTTTTCATATTTTTACCTGCATTTTTACAAGTTTTAATGAAAAAATTACTAACCATTAAAATTCCTCACATTTAGCGTATTAGGATCGACATTCTATCCATAAAGGAAAACACGAATTTACAAACTTTATTTATGCAACCTCCACTTTTCACTATGGCAAACAACGGTATATTTATAGAGATATATATTTTTTTTTTTTTTTTTAGTATTTTGCTGTCTAAGTTCTGTCCCCGGAATAGGGATTTTGTATTCTTAAGATCTCATGCAAGGTAGTTTTTATAAAGGATATTAAATCTTTATGTTGCAGCCATACATATCTTGGGGGGGAAAATGATTGTGTTCTCAATGAAAATTGGGGAAAAACACATTTCGGAAATATGTCCCCTTTTTGAATTTTCTGAAGAATAACACGTTTACTCTGACCAAACTTTTTGTGCTCTGTTTCTGTGTCAAAAATTCATCCTCATGGCAAGCTGTAAAAGTAAAGCTTCTTCATTTAAAGTAAGGGGAACCGTATTTGAAAAATACAAAATGAATGCAATTAAATCGATGTTTACCAGATGCACAATATAACAAATCTACAGCTGGTACCATATGAAAATATCAAAATTCTGTTATCTCTGCTAGTGGAAAAATTTGAATATAATGAAAAAGTTGAGTAAGGTGCACTATAGAGATGTTAAAGAAGCATTTGTGCAATGGTTGGTTATTTAAAGAAGCTGTTATCAACCAATATATGGACAAATGAATTTGCCCAACACTTTAGAGAGACTGGAGAAGAACAAACAAGAAATTTAATAACTGCAAATAATAATAATTTTAATAGTATTTTTAAAATTAGATTTATTATTTATTTCTTTTGGTAGATGTGACTTTGTTAATCAGTTTGTTTATTTATTCATCGTTCAATTTTTACATGTTTTTGCAAGGTAATCCATTTTTTGTGAGATAATTTGTATCATCATATATGGCAATGGTCTCAAACTGGCAGCCTGCAGGTGGCATGCAGCTGTAGAAGATATTTCAGTTATGAATTTGTTGCAACATTAAAAGATGTCAAGATTTGAATTATTTGAAGTTTGAGTTTACATTATTTTCATTAGCATTAAAAACTAAAGTTAATAATGCACTAATTTCTATTGTAATATAAATTGGATTCAAAAATTTGTTATTGAAAAATTTGGAAACTCAGATTTTATTAACTTTTATCTCTGCTTGTCCTCCCCCCCCCAAAAAAAAAGTTATCAATTTTTGCACTCTTTATTTAGGAATACATTTATATATGAAAGCTTTTCTTTACAGCTGAAAATTAGTAAGGAAAAACCCTGAGTGACTTATAAGCTCAGAGTTGTCCTTCAAGTAACCAATTTGTAATAATTCGTTTTGTTACTGTGGTGTCAACTACAGCTCATATTTCTGCTGTAGATGCAGTACTGTGCACTACAGCCATATGCCAAACATCTCTCAGCAGTGTGATCTTTCCTCTCAGCAGTGTGAGGAAGGAAAAATTTATTTGAAAAATATTGTTCTCAAATTGCATGTATGTTATTGCAGCAGCCTAAACAATTTTTTTCACATTGCATTTATGTTATTATAGCAGCCTACTGCAGAACAGAGAGGCTCTCCTACTCTACAACAGCCCTTACCTCTTGTACCAGCACCAGGTGCAGCAGCTCCACCTACTACAACAACTGCATCTACAGGCAAGTTATATAGTTTTGAATATTTTTGTATTTTAATATAGTAGTTATATTACCAAAGGGTCTAGGGTAGGGGGAGAAATTGAACTGAGCATTTTTAATAAACATTTGTACTAAAGTAAGGAAAAAAAAAAAAAACATGAATGCAATACCTTTAGTACATTTAGTAATCACTACCCAAATCAATGATTTTCTGCCAAAATTTTGGTAGTTTTTCAAAGACTTTGGCATGGAAACTTGGTGGTTGCAAGTCCAAAAAATTATCAACCTCCTTTTACCAGACATTCTGTGCAGAATAGAAGGTAGCACCAGCAAGATGTAGCTGCAGGTGTGAAAAAAAAGTAGAAGTCCGAAGAAGCAATGCTGGGTGTGGCAAAAGATTCCATTCAAGTCTATGCAGAGTCCAGCTGGTGAATGCAGACACATATGGTATCACATTATATTGATGGAACATTACCTTTTTGTGTCGAATATTAGTTCGATATTTTTCTTTGTTAGCAGTGTCAACAAGGACTAGCATCTCGCTGTACACCTTACTGTCAAATTTTTTCCTTTTTCCAGATACTTTTTATGATTAATATCGTAGCCAATCCACACACAAAGTATGTTTTTTTTTTTTTTTTAAAGTTAAATTGCGCTTTGTGACGCTGTTGATGGGCTCACCAGTACAGACTAACCTCCTTTTCAGCCTGTGTTGTTGATATAAATTCACTTTTTATCCTATCTTTTATTTTATTATTTATTTATATAAATTCACTTTTTATCTGCTCCAGAATTTTGTCCTTGCATTGATTGCATTGATATTCGAGCAGATTAATGCAGGCCCAAACAACATATGTCCTTATCTGCTTGAGTCAGCTCATGTGGCACCCCAGCGATTGAACTTGTATGTCAAGTTTATGTGATGCATAACGCGACTAATGGACAGGGCACTAACATCTAACTCCTTAGCGAGATCTTGAGTGGTTGCAAACTGATCTTCTTCCACAAGTTCTCGCAGGCGGGCATCATCAACATCAATATGCCGGCTAAAGTACTCTGTTTCTTTAATGTCATTGTTTTTGAACTTTCAGTACCAAACCTTCACAGTGTCATATGATACAACATTAGTACCTAAAGTGTTGTACACATGATTTGGTGACAGTCTATAGCTGACTTTTTACAGCAGAACTGGAAGTAAATGATGGTTTCTCATCTGGTAGCGTGATAGTTCCATTTCAGACACCTTTACATAATGATAATGTTATTTTTTTTAATGTTTTTTAAATGTGTTAAATTCTATTAGAATATTTTATGCTTCCTGGTTAAAGTAGTCACCATGCTTAGTCACCAAACTTGGCAATCTGAATTGCTCAATCTGCATGGGAAAATTTCGTATGCCACCATAGGCTTACGTATAATATTTGCCTTAAGAAAGAAGTATCTGGTTTTTTAGATATTAAAACCTAGCAAAAGAATCTTTAAAATAGGAGGTAAAGGAGGATATTTTATCCTTAACAAAGAAAAATTATTTTGCTCTCTTCAAATAAAATTTTGTATGCCTTCATTTTAATGTCTTAATTTTTCATTTGCTAAAAGCTTTTAACCTTCCAGCACTCGCGCTATGCACAAGGTTTACGACAAATTCATTTTTTAATGCACACTTTTCGCATATCACAGCTGAGATGTCTGAATGTCATTTCTATTCATCCTTTCAACTCTTCCCCACATCATGGAATGTGCCAACATTAAGCCATATGACCTTTTTTTGTTTTTTCCTGGGCTTTTGCGCTACGTGACAGCTCCATCGGAAAAGTTACGGCATGAGAGTGGTCGCTAGTGAAAATTCGGAAGATATTTTTTTGACGAATATTTTGTAATTTTGTGTTACTAATTGAGATATATTATTTTAATTTGTATAAATTCGATTCTATAATTTTTATATTGATTTTCACGGAAAAAGATTATGTGCAACCAGCTGATTTTGCTTGCATTCTTCAAGAACTATCTGATGAAGAAAAGACAAGGAAACCTTTGGATGTGAGAATAATAGCAATCCGAGTGAGAAAAATATAGAGATAAATAATATCAGCATTGAATTTGAACAATAAATTTTGGATGATGATAGTAATAATGATATAGAAAAAAGGAATGAGGATATATTTTTTGTTAATAAGGATATATCTTCTAAGTGGCAAAAACAGAAGTATAAAAACTGCTGAAAAACGAATAAGATGAATATTGTGAGCGTTACCTGGCATAAAACACCATGCCAAGGATATAAAGGATGAAATGGGAACATTTTTGAAAATAGTTAATATAAATATGCTTGATGAAATTTTGGAATGAACAAATAAATATATAAGTTTACTAAAAGGCAAAATACTCAAGAGATAGAGACTGCCGTTACCGAGGGGAATGAGGCCTACTTTGGATTGCTATATATAGAGGAATTAAAAAACGGACACCAAAAATGCAAAAGATTGTTCAAGTGATGGATGGAGCTGAATTGAAATAACAAGAGATTTTATTTGACAAGTTGTCTCCGATTCGATGATAAATCAACAGAACAATACAGATGAATATAAAACTAGCTATTTTAAATATAGTTTTAATAATAATTTTTTTAATTTCTATAATAAAATACATCATTGCTTTTCCACCTGACTAATATAAGTGTTTAAACATAATTTACTGTCATTTGAATGTGACATCATTTGTATTTTTTAATAATAAGGTTAATAGTTGATGTTTTAACAAATTTGTTATCAATATTCACTAATTTCTGTCATTTTTCGTGCCAAAAATGATAAAATAACAGATGTCGTAAAAAAATACGACGCGTGCATGCTCGTGTAAAGTGCGCATGCTGGAAGGTTAATAATGAATTTTATGCTTAAAAATATTCAAGGCAATCCAGTGTAAACCTATTAGTATTTGTAAAATGAATAATAAATATCCAGTTATTTTTATTTTCAAAAAGAATATTAATTACTATAAAATAGCTAATGAAAAAAATAATAATATTCTTTCCTTAACTCTCAAAGTGGCAAGGCCGTATATATACAGCTTAGAATATTTTTTGTGATGTGTATAAGAACGTATATATACGTGCATATTAAAATATGTCAAAGAAATTAAGGCAATATATCAAAAGAAAACAAATCCAGGTATGAAATACCAGAAATACCAGGATAGGTAATAGATAGGTACCAGAAATACCAGGATACCATTAAAATTTTTTTTTAAAAAATTGTTCTCATAGTAGTTTTGGGAAATTTGTGCTTTCTTAGCGAAAAGCCTGGCGCTCAGAGGGTTAAACAATTTCCTAGTTTAGTACATTTTATGTAAAAGTTCATATAGTATTATATTTGCTACAATTCAAAACTGTGACAAAATGAAACAAAGAGCTTAGTTCTGCCTACTTTTTATAATCATGCCTTTATGGTGTTATCCACACATTCACAAAACTAAATTACATAAAATTCTTGTGTTTAAAATGTTCTACGAGGGCTATCCAGAAAGTAGATTACGTTTTGGAATAAAAAAATAAACAAAGTATAGGAAACAAATTTTATTATATACAGATGAAAGCCACACTCAAATACTACTTTCTACATAGTCACATACAAATTAAGGATTTATCGTAGCGATGTACGAGCTTGGAAATTCCTTCGTCGAAAAAATTCGGCCGCCTGCGCCTTCAACCCACTTCGTTACCTCTTTTTGCAGCTGTGCGTCGTCATCAAAACGCTGCATAGCAGCCACTTCTTCATTGCTGGGAATAGGTGGAAGTCGCTCGGTGCCAGGTCGGGACTGTACGGCGGATGAGGAAAACAACTCCCACTTAAAAGATTCAAGAACTTTACGAGTGACATTTGCCGTGTGGGGCCGCGTTGTCGTGAATCAACAAGATCTTAGAGCTCACATTCCTCTGCGCTTGTTTTGAATTGCTCTTCTGAGTTTTGGAGAGTTTGGCAATACCTTTGAGAGTTATTGTAGTGCCTCTTTCCAGGAAGTCCACCAAAATTACACCTTTCTGTCCCAAAAAAAAGTCGCCATCATCTTCTTGCCGACATGTTTGCATGCATTTTGGGCTTTTGGGGAGAACTTGTGTGCCCCCACTGCATTGATTGCAATTTCGTTTCACTTCACATGTTTCACCCTTGTTTTCGTCACCAGTAACGATGCGATCGAGTAAAGAGTCACCATCCTTATGGTAAGCGTCCAAAAAGTTCAACGCTTGCAGCCATTCGCTGATTTTTGTGTCCTCTGTCAAGATTTTTGGAATCCATCTTGCACAAAAACTTGTGGTAACCAAGCTTTTCGCTGATGATTTCGTGCAACAACTTCGCGAAATTGTGGAAAAACTCAAAGAAAGTTCCGTTATTGTGAAATTTCGATTTTCACGGACTTTAGCATCGACTTTTCGAGAGTTCGGCGGGGGTCACTATGCTGGGTCTCCCACTTCGATCTTCGTGAACATTGGTTCGGCATTTTGAAATCTTATGACCCACTGACGCACTCCACCTTCAGTGATAATGTTGTCCCCATACACTTCACGAAGCTGCCGATAGATTTCTATCGGTTTACAGTTTTTGCAGTCAGAAACCTTATTACTGAGCGCAGCTCGCGGGATTTTCAATTAACGCAGACATTTCAAACCGTCACAGTATCTGAACGGAGCACAGCACGAACCTCTCACTAGCACGGCTAGATGCAGACTGAGCTGTGCAACGCTCTGACCCCAAGATGGCCGCGCTAGCCCCGCCCCTAGCGGACACAGACGGAAACGTAATCTACTTCCTGGATGGCCCTCGTATTTGACATGCCTATTCTGAACTATCTTTCGACACCACAATTTTCAGGATAATAATGCCTTTTGAAGTGTTTCTATCCCATTCTCCCGAACACTTTCCAGAGTCCGTAGGGTTTTGGGACAAACGTTGGATTATGATTTTAAAAATCCGAAAGCAAAAAAATCCATAGGGACACATCGGAGATTTAGTAGGGATGCCAGTGAAGGGTATGGCCTTGATACCAGTTTTTTGTTCCATTTCTTATGGAATTTGCAGTGGATTTTGATGTGTGACTGCTAGCTTTGTCCTGATGGAGTCTCACCAGATTGATGGCACTGGGTAAGCGATGGTATTTCATTCAGAAAAATTGGCGATAAAATATGTTCCTGATAGTATTTGGAGTTCATCTTGAAATTTTTTTCACTCCTTTATTTAACTTGCCATTATAAGAAAAACCAGCAACAATCATGAATCCCTTAGAAAAACTTTCTTTCGATTCTTTGAACCATGTACTTAAATTTTTTTATCCCCTTTTTGATAATAAATGGCTCTTTTTTTTTCAGTCATTTAAATACCCCCATGCTTCATCTATTGTGACAATTGTTTCCATTTTTCTGTGGATAAGTTTTTCTCATATAGAATTTTTGCAGCGTGTTCCTGCGTTGAGCAATATGCTTTTGGAAGAAGACGATGCACATTGCGTTTTTTTCACTTTCTTAAGATTTAAATCAATGTTTATAATTTTTTTACAGTGGACACCGAGCATTTTAATGATTTTGCAACTGTCCTTTGACTAGGGGGATTTTCATTTAACATTAAACAACGTACCTTTGCAATAGTCGAAGATGTCCATTTTTTCCTTGGATACTTGTTTGGAAATTTTGTCCCACTTGAGGTTCCAATTTGATGTTTTTTTCTTTTCTTGTTGATGATATTACCTATCGACGCTTTAGATATCACAAAACCATGACTCTCACATCGTTTTTGGATAACGGAGTATGCATATTTCTCTTCGGAAAAAGCTTAAATGTAGCCCTCGAACCACTGCTTTGTTAAATTTGCCATTTTGAATAAAAACAAAACTTTCAAACCACAGACGATAATTTTGACTTTTAAAAATAGTACAATTGCAATTACTTCTTTTGCAGCAAACGATTTTTTATTATCGCTTACCAAAATTGTCTAAAAATTATGCGAACAGCCTCTGTATATAAAAAAAAATTGTTATGCTTATTTTGAAATGCAAACATGAATAGGAAAATTTGTTTCTTATAAAGCTTATTCAATTACCAATAACCCAGTATGCCTATCATTGACAAAATACACAAAGTTTTGGGTTTTAAAAAGTTTTAATTTAACACTCCAGTTCACAAGATGCCATAAATTGTGATATAATAAACATATAATCATAGGTAATAATGTATGAAGCATTTTATGATGATAACATAAATAATAAATTAATTAAAATATAATTAATTATTGGTGGTGTGCTACATCATTACTAATCTTTAATCCATTGGCAATGAAGAAGCTAATCACAGTTGCTAACACAGGCAGTGAAAAATGTCAATTAATAACACAGTGCCCTGTATTATGAGAGTATATAAAGCTATTACATTATTGTCAGTACTGTCTTCTGTTAAAAGAAAGAATATGTATTTTGCAACTTCATTTAAGCATTTATTATATTAATTTAGTTGTTATTTTTAATAGTGAACTCAACTATCATGAATAATATATGCTTTAAAGTTGAACAGAAGCTGTCTTTGTTTGTATATATAATGATACTGGATCATTTTTAATGATAAACTGTGATTTGATGATTTATAGTTTCATTAACAGATTAACTTGATTAATGTGATTAACTTTTTTTAATGACTATAACAGTATTAGTGTTATGAATTTGAAGTCATCTGCATTGATTAGCATCTCATTTGAATGTTATAATGCTATAACATTTCTTATATTTTACATTTTATGATGAGATATGATTAGTCTTCAGAATGTTTATAAAACTTTGATACTACTTTCTAGCCAGGAATATTTTCTGATTTTAAACAGCATGTCTCTGATATTTGATCAAATCTTCAACAGCATTCTGTTTTATAAATTTTCAATTGAAAAAAAAAAAAAAAATGTTTGCATTATGTTATTAACAACAATGTGATTTCATCTCTCTCCCCCTATTTTGTTTTGTGTGTACAGTCATATCATGTATATACTGATTTGGTATCCATTGTTCAGGCCAAATATAGTAACTACTATATTCTCATGCTAATCATGACAAGCTAAGTACTATATTCTCATGCTAATCATAACAGTATGCATACTCTTTGCAAATGGATGTAATTAAATGAGAGGAGGATGAAATTGGTCAGCTTTGGGAACTCAGACATGTACTGAAGTTACAGATCACTCTTCATAATCATGCTTTTTATAGTTCCTTTCCCTGTCACAGTGGCTATTAAAATGTTATCTGAAGCTGACGGTTATTAGTAGTCAAACCATCTGACTTCTCCCACTTAATGCTTTTTTAGTTAAATAGTCTTCTTATCTGCTTTTAGTAGTGTTTGTATTCCCATCGGTGATATTTTATCTGACATATGCACAAATTTTTAAGTTTTTATTGTACAACTCTTGAAGTACTGAAGAATAAAGAAAAAATTCATGCTGTTGCACTGCAAATTGAGAAAATTCTTGATATAGTGTGGGATAAAATGCTAATAAAAGTCCTAATAAAGTCTTAAATTTTTGGTTTATTTTCAGTTTGATGATTCTTATTCATTTCCTCGATTTAATACAAGCATATTGTTATCACAGTGTCTCTTCACTATTATCTTACTTCCTCTTCTCATCATAGGCATTAAGCTACCATTACATCACTATATATATTGCTGAATCCTCTAATAAGTTCCAGAATTGTAATTACTGTATTGCATGTTAGGTACAAGTGTTTGCATGTAATTTTCATTGTAAAATTTGCAGCCATAATTTTTTTTTTTTTCCTGTTGTTTGTTTGCTTTATTGAAAAAGGGTTTTTATTGCTGCCATCTCTTGAAACTGTTCATTTTACTATGCAGGACAGGAATTGCATGGCTTAATTTCTTACTCATATTTTATGGATCAGCTTACACTTTTAGAGTGCCTTATACACCCAGGCAAAAGAAAGAGCATACTAAAACATGGAGTAAATTTTTCACTATTAACAATAAAATGTGTAAACTAATACTATGTTTGATTGTTACTCATTAATAATGGTAATGTATTACCATACCAGATTCATCAATTAAGTTTTATTGAGTACACGAATATTCTTTTCTTTGGGAAAGATTTAGATGAAGAATTTAGCATACATGAATAGATGTATTAAAATTACTTATTATATTTTGTATTTGGAAGCAGTGTTCTAAATCATATTCTGAATAGGCTAGGGGGATAAATAAGCACGTAAATATAGTAACTTAAATTAGATTTTCGCTTTAATAAAACTTAAATTTTGTTGTAACCAAATGAAAAGTAGATAAATTAAGATTATTTGTAATCACTATTACAAAATTAAAGAAATCACTGACTTAAAACTCTGCAGTTTGAATTTTCTCAAATGCATGATGTCATAAAAACTATTGTCAAAATTATACAAAATTTAATAATGTTTTAGTATATTTCAATATAGCGGATCCTTCTGCTCTTTTAACTGGCCTCAGAAGATTAACTCAAACCTTTCACATATAGGTTGGAAATTTGTCAGACCAACTTTGTTAAGTAGTAATTGGTAATAAGACAGTTTGTATGAGGTTGGTGGTAGAGAAGAAAGATGAATGAGAAAACTGTGACAAAATACTCTTGATCAAAACTAGAGCAGAGGAGCTATATAGATAACTATTGTCAACATTTTTGCTATTTCTAATGAATAAATCATTCTAGTCCTAAATAATCATCTACAAAATACTTACTATAATGGGCAATAGTCTGTGCATATAAATTGCTTCCATTTCCTATGTTTAAAATGTACTTTGTAATGTAATATGTGTATATGAGTGTGAATAATATTTATATGTCTATATATTTTACTCCAGGAAATGGCAACCATACTACATCTGCCTTTGCTCCTAGAAATGCAAATAGAAATTCTGGACAAACAAGACCACAGTTGCCTGTAATTAATAATGGAGTTAATAGCAAACCACGTCCTGGCAGACGATAAGAAATAGTTTTTTCTATTCATTATATTATATATAAAATGTATTTTATAAATTGGAATGAAGTTTCTGAAGAAATTTGTGCATTCCAGAGACCTTTTTTTTTTCTTTGTAACGGGCATGTTTGTACAGTGAGCCACTTACTTAGTCTCTTAAAATTCAAGGTCCCATCTAGGAAAGAAGGAAAAAATTGAAATGCATTTCTCATCTGATAGTCATCAGAAGTAAAAGTTTCATTTGTTGTAGTGTTTCATTGTCATTTTATGTCATATGTAAAAGGAAATTATACGTCATTATAAAGAGAATTTCCTTTGTCTTTTAGATAGTGAAATTTTAAGTGTTTTATTAAAGTACTTAGGGTATTGTATTAAAAAGCCACCTTCATAATTGAGAACATGACAAATAAAGATGAATAGAATTTACCTTCAATGAATGAGCTTTCTTTTTAAGATGTTTCTATATAATAATTTTATTCCAAATGTGTAAACGTAAACAATGACTGCAGTAAATTATGTGTATCATTGCATGATAGTTGTCACTGTGATGTTTTTCTGTTTTATTTTTAGGGTAAAAATGAAACTGCAGTTATTAAGAGTATAGGACTATTTTATACTGAAAGAAGTTTCATATCAAAGATTGTAAATTTGATTAGCTCTAAAGTATGATGTTATTCTTAAGCAAGCAGTTATGTAGTAAGAAAACTTTCATATCTTCTAAAAGTTTAATCAGTTTTGATTATAATTCCATTAATTTCTTAGCAAGCAAGTGCAAACAAGAGAGATACTGTTTTGAGAATCCTCCTTTAGTGCATGATTTTCTTGATAGATTTTGATTTTAGTGTAGTAGATGAACATGGGCTTTGATATGCACAATATATTTGTAATACATAAGCAAGAAAAATTAAAGGAAGCATTATAAAAATTCATGTTACTTTAATGATTTTGCAGCTGAGCACCTGGTACTTGCACAGGATCTTTATTTTGTCATGTCTGACATATCTTTAAAGCACAGAATCACCTATTTCTGCCAAAATAAAGTTAAATAAATAAATAAGAATATGATAAAAAATGGAATAGGCTAAAGTTGGTGGTGTAGTTTTGTTGTGATACATAGCAAATATTTATAAGATATGTAGTCACCCCAAATGGGTATGCAAGCTTTAAAGAGGTTTTTACGTGTATATTTTAGATTATTCTGGAATTCCTGCAGTAACAAATTGTATTCTCATGGAATAGTGCCTTGAAGCTCCTGAGAATGCTAGGTGGAAGCTGCAGAGATGCAAGTCAGCGTCCTAGTATGTTCCTCTTACATTCTACTATATTTAAATTCAGAGAATATATGGGCCACTTTGTATGCTGGGTTTTTTTCATCCTCAGGATAATTGGTCATTAGCGCAGTGCAATGAGGATGAGCATTATTGTCCATTAGAAGGAAGTTACTACTGATTTCACCCCTGAATTATTTGGCATAAAGATCAAGAACCTTACCTCTGTATATCTGAGCACTCATAGTTGCACTGTTTAATATGTGTATATCAATATTACCATTTAAAATGATGCCCATCCATACTATTGTTAATTAACTTTGCATTGATGCCTTTCATGGATATTTTCAAGCTTATTGCACTTGTTTAGCTCCCTTTAGATCAGCAACCTTTTTCATGTCATGGCACACCTCACGAACCTAAGTAATAAGACACATATTTTAAAAAAAAATTATCAACATGATCAATTTCTTCTTTTTCGTACTAGGGATTCTATTCATAAGAACTTTCAAATATTTTTGACTATAATGCATAACATTCCAGCTAGATATTCATTTCAAATAAATCTTATGAAGTCATGAACATGGAATAAATAATGAAATGAAAATACCTGATCCATTGTATTCTCAGTGACTGATGGTTGATGTAGTTTTTATATCACATTTGTGAATTAAATTGTCAGATTTGATCAAATGAAACTTCTATTTAATTCTAAAAAAACACTTATTTATACAATTATGATGTGAAAATACACAAGCAAAATTAATTATACGGAAAAGAATCACTGACTGTATATAAATATACTACAGATTATAATAATTTGATGATTGCTAGTAATGCATGAGAAAGGTTCAATCTATAAATTTATGACATAAAAATTACATTTCATGGTGTTCCTGGTATAGAAAAAATGGCATTTAATATATGGTAGCAAATATGCTACCATGGTCATTAGAGGATTAAAGGGAAAGTTTTTATTTACTTCTTCCTTAAGCAATTATCCTGTTATTTGCATAACTGTCTGTAATTTGGCATGAAGAACTGTAAATGAATGTCATCTTGGTGAACTTTATAAACATTCCGGAGTTATATATGAATTATACATAAACAAGGAATAAATTTTAACAACTTCACTATTTAAAAGCTAGATCAATTACTTTTTTGATTCTAAAATTTTTCAATATTTATTTTTATATATAACACTTATATAATTTTAAATTAAAATTAAAACTAACAGGCAGAAAAAAAAAATGTTAGAAAAATAAACAATACATTATTAATTGACCAAATTAAAGGTATCACAAATTATAAATGGAGCTAAAAATGGAATATAATAATATTTGTAAGATTGTATAAATTAATAAACAGCAGTAGAAAGGTCTAAAAAGTGGAAAAGCTGCATTAGCATCTTAATTTTTAACTTCATCGTTGTTTACTTTATATTTTAACAGCATTATGCACAGGAAATGTTTTATAAGTCCTATTACCTATATTTTCTCCAATTTAAGTTTCTGTATATTTTGTAAGAAAAGAAATATGTAAATAAAAATTCTAACTTTAATGATCATGAATTCTTTGACTGTCCATTTTAATTTGATTATTTCTCCTTTCCATCCTATTAGGTGCTTCTAAATTTCTATAAGTTGTGTCATTTCAAAGTTAATCCATGTCATATGATTCTTGCATAATGCTTCAGTCAATAATGATGTCAGTTAGGAAACCAAAACTTAAAAATTAACTATTAGGGATAAAGCTTAACTGAATCAAATTTTCATCTTAGGCACATATTCTCTTTCAGGTTATATATGAATTTCAGGTTATATATTCTCTGATGTCAACATATTTCAATCTCAATTTTTCATGAATTCTATTCCTAATGCAGGGTTCATATAGTCCTTAGGTTTTTTTAAATCAATTTTTAGTCTTTAATTTCGGCTAACAGCAGAAAGTCCTTAACTTTAATCATCTGAAATTTCTTTCTGTTTTTACGACTGCTATTTTGAGTGTGAATTAGCATTTTGAAGGAATATTTTTGGTGATTCACTGACAAATATAATTATCTTCTGAATGGGTTCATAGGTTATAATTTGTTCCTATTTCTAATATAAATAGTGAGATACTCGAGTTTCATAGGAAAGAAATTCAACTTAAGCATTTCGAAATTATTTCATTTTTTTCTATTGAAGAACTCTTAAATAACTTTTTGCTTTTGGTGATGTGAATTCTTTCATTAAATGGTTCTAAATTTGGCGATTTTAAGACTAGTTTCTATAGAAAAATTTTAATTCCTAGATCTGGGAATTTTTCACAATTTTTTAAAACGTAACATTATGATTAATTTCATTATAATAATGTATTTAATTATAATACTGAAATTATATTTAAAAAATAACATTAAAGTAAAATATTTTTAATTTTTGCTCTCATATTACTATAAAGTTCCATTTTGTCCACTTATTATATACAGTCAAAAGTCATTAATCTGGACTTGTCGGGACTTCGGCGATTCCGGATTATAGATCATCAGTTTAAATCTGGTAAGATGGCATGCAGAAATTATAAAATTAAAAATATGAAACCGTAATTTATGAAATAAAGAACAAGTATGATCTAAAGGGTATCAAAATTTACCAAAAAAAAAAAAAAAGAGCTTAATACTTATTTTACATTTCTTTCAATGTAAGTTGTTTAAGTTGCTTCGTTTTATATGATAATACTTTCTCTTTAATTCTATAAACAGACGTAATTTCTTGTTCAGTTATAAAGTTTCGCTGTTCAAGTCCTATAATTGCTGTGCCGAGAATACCGACTAATTTGTCAATCGAAATTTTTTCGTTTGCAATAACCTCTGTGTCACTTTCTTCACTATCGGAAGCGAATTATAATGACGAGGAATTTGATTTTATCAAAGACGGAGTACATCGAGATGAAATACTACATTTAGTAAGGAATTATAAGCCAAATAAAATAAAAACATCTGCCCTGAAGTAAGGATAGTGCTGACAAATCAACTTCCAATTCATTGCGCGCCGCTGCGTCCCCGCCGCAGAGCAGCGTGAAATTGATAAACAGATTTCGGAATGGTTAGAGAAACAAAGGATATGCTTTTATCCATTTTTTGCAGCAATTCCACTTTTTGTTTGACGGACATCGAAATATACTTTCGCTTTGTATATCCTTTGGGAGCTCCAGCATTGGAAATTCTATTTGACATAATCGAAAATTCAAACCTACTTTTATAAAATTGCTCTAACAGTCTGCAAAAAATAATGAGCCGGATCCAATTCGAAGATTAAGGAACAACGCAATCTGCAACATTAACTGAAATTAGATAATTTTAACTTATACCATCTGTTATACATTAAACGTGCATGTGTAAACATATTATGCGCATGCGCACACGCATATGTGCAGCCGTAAAGGTTTTACGCATGCACATAAAGTTTGTAGCTTTGAGGTCCGGATTATGGGTGTCCGAATTAATGATTTTTGACTGTATACAATATTTTGAATCTGAAAAATAAATAAGGTATAATGTTATAAAGCACAATTTATGAAACAGTTCTTAGCAAAATAAAATTAATGCCTTTTTAAATTTTTTCACGGCAAGAGTTTAGTTTTTTTCATGCAATTGTCTCGGGATATTCGGGATTCTCAGAATATGCATCAGTTCTGTTTTTTCCCCTCTGGTTTCCCCCCCCCCTCAAAAATATTTCTGTCTTTTTGCTGTTGCAGAATTGGTAGGGTTAATTTATCTTGAGGATTTTAGATATGCAGCTTGGAAAGTTTAGAAGGATTTGAAGGCAAGATTTATACACCCGTGATTCTAGAAAATGTGACAAAACGAAAAAAGTCTTCCTAGTATTAACACATAGTGGATGTATTTTGCAGAAAGTGTGCACTTTTTGGAGAACGTCTGGAAGAACAATGAAAACATAATAATGAAATATATGCAGAAACTAGTGAAAACATTGGTTTGCATATTGAGACAATCTTCTGATTGTTAGAAAAGATGCCTAAAGAGAAGGAAATCGATATAAATTAGCCAAAATGTCTACGAAGGCTTCAAATTAAAAAACTGCATAAATATTTTGTTGTGTAATTATTCTAATACCATTTAAGAATCAATGTCATAAATTGAATATATTTTAAACTGTGAAATTTTATTAGATTGTGATTTTAATAGGACTTTTTAACAAATATTGTTAAAAAATAAATAAAATGTAATAGTGACCACGTAAATCTATAATAAGTAAGATTATCTAACTGCTTAATTTAATAATTTATAACTAACTGCTTACCCTTAAAAGTTATCTCTGCATATTAAAGCGAGTTATTGCCTTTCATTAATCCGTACCGTGGTCACAAGATAAAACACAAAAATATAAAAATTCTTGTAAAACTCATTCTTTGCATCTAGTGAGACTTAAAATAATACAAAACAATTAATCACCTCTGGTGCTTTAGTGGCTAATTGGAACCTTACACTATATTAACTGGGTTAAAACCCCTGGAACTCTATGCAGAGCTACACTGCATCAGACAAAACCTAACTAACTTTGAAAACTTGCCCAACCGTACCTCAGCAGGTCTCTTTCTAGGCAAGCAGCAGCGGAGACAACAGCCAGTCTTTTGTTATGAATCATGCTGATTATGATTTTACTTCTCATTTTAACGTATGTCACTTGACATAAAATCTACCTAGTATTTACTAAACCTCTAGCCTGAGCAAGTATATGACAAAATGAGACATAAGAAAACATCAACATAAAGCTAACTGTGAATAAAATGTCAAAATGTCGCTTATCTTCTTTCAAATATGTCCATCTATTATAAGTGTAAAAGATTTAATGCTAAATAAATGATAAATTTCATAAAGTTTATTTTATGTTCAAACTCATTAATAAATATTTTAATTAAGTTATGTTTAATAATAATGCATCCTACTTACAGATCTATTTATTTTTAGAATGATATTACAAAAGTGAAGTTCAGGCATAGATAATATTTTTAATTGAATTTATTCAGTACGTATTTGCTTATAGGTCCTTAATATTTTCCATTAATGGTTCGTAAAAGTCCTTAATTTCCCTGTGCATAAATGTGTACGAACCGTGTAATAATAATGTAAGAAAACATGAATGTGAACAATAATGGATGCACTGAATGTGCTCTTTAGATTGTGTAATTCAAGAAATAAGTATGCTTCTCTAGCAGTGTGTCCGACTAACATCTTTTGTGCTGCAAGCTACTTCACTGTTTTAACATGTTCTAAATTATTACAATAATTTCAGCTGGCGAAGAAACTCATTTGTCTCCCGAAACCTGCTTCAACAAAACATTTGTGTACAGAATTAATAATTTATTCTCTATCTGCAGTAGGTTTTCTTTGAAACAAAAACTGTATACAAGAAACATGGGTCAGTTTTGAAATGTGTTAATTTAGAAAGATTTATTATAAGCACTTACTATATTTAGAATGAAAAAAGGAATAAAAGAAAATGAAATGAAAGGTACTCTTGCAAATTAAAGTTAGAATTCTGACTTACAAATTTTTTATCTTATATATATTATATATGCGTGTGTGTATCCTTTCATTAACATAAACTAAAATTGTAAAAGTTTCTAACTAAATTGTCATTTTAAAACCGTAAGCAATAAAAGAGCATTTATGATAGCACATGAGATATTTAGATAAACAAAGGCTAATGCATCCAGACAACTCGCTTGTCTTTTTCAAGAAAAGAATAATCGAAATATGTATTTGCTATAAGTGAGGAAGTTTTATTTTTTTTTTATTTATCTTATTTAATGAAAATGATTTTGATAAAAAGTATTCCATAAATAATACAAAATATTTTTCAACAAAAGTAATTGATTTTCTTTCCTTTTTATTAATGTTATATTTATTATTTACTTGAATATGCAATTCATTTCACCTAAAGTAAAGCAATAAAACTAATTTTTGTTTGAGTAAAATAAAATGTTCCTATTTTTATAGAACTAAAATTTAATTAACAATTATGCTTTGCTATAAGCCTATACAGAATGTGATTGCTTTTCTGTTAACATTTATAGACTACATATTTGACAAGCATTGTATTCCTATATAGTAGCATTGTATGTAGCTATATATAAGCATTGTAGTCCTAGTGTGTTATAGAGTGCATATTCATTTAAGTGAATTTGTAGTATATTATTTAAATCCAGGAAAAGCTTGAACAAGTAAATTAATAAAGAACTTTATTTTAAGTAAAAGAACAAAAGCTGGGTAATGAGATTTTTTTTCACATCTGGAATGCAAATAATTGGAGTTTTTCTGTATTATAATAATCTGAAAATACTTTTCTTCTTCAGTTCTTTTTAAAGAAACTGAAAAAAAAAAAAAAAAATTTTAATGAAATTATCTTATAGTACTGTTAGCTTGAAGTTGCTTAAAATATTTTACTGTTTACTTATTGAAATCTGATGATTGAACTGGTAGGAGATTAACTTCAGTGTTTTACATTGACTTAATGAAAACCAAACATGGTCCAGAAAGCTGCTTTTTAAATGGAAGAAGATTTATGTAATTTACAAGTTGTCATTAACAATCATATTGTTTTAATTTTTTTATCACTATAACAATTTAAATGCAGACCTGCTGTTCATGGTAAAGATTTGGTTGAAGGAAATTAAGTTTAAAATAAAATATGTTGTCCGGAAATTTATTAAACAATTGGAAAAAAAAAATGATAAAATTTCCTAGTTTAAAAATAAAATGAATAGAAATATGTTCATATTTAGGTACATTGTATTTTTATATTCTTCCAATCATTTCTCTTGCTGCACTGAAATAATAAAAGTATTTAAAAAATTATGAAAATCAATGCATACTGAAAAAAAAAAAAAAAAAAAAAAAGCATAAAATGAATTTGTTATGAGAAGCCTAAGAGATATATTTGTCAGTAAAGCAAAAATTAAGTATTTGTTGATAAATCATTTTTTTATTTTTACATAAAAATTTATTGAAGTATTATGTTGAAATATGCCAAAAAAATTATTTTTAGAAGTTTGACATTTTTCTTTAATTAATGTTGTGTTTGTAAAGACAAAATATGTTTAACTTGTGTGTTTTAATCTTTGTTAGTTGTGCACTTAATGTATAATTCTTAAACAGTTTTGTTGAGTCTGTGTGTATGTGTGTGTATTTCATTATCTTAATTATTACTTATATTGTTTTTAAAATCAATAAGTAGCAAATGTAATGATGTAATTTAATTA